ACCAATACTCCTAGATCCTTTTCACATGTACTGCTCTCAAGCCAGGTGTCACCCATCTTGTATTTGTGCCTCTCATTTTTCTGCCCAAGTGCAATACTTTACATTTCTCCCTGTTAAAATTCATCTTGTTTGTTTTGGCCCAGTTCTCTAATCTGTCAAGGTCGTTTTGAAGTGTGATCCTGTCCTCTGGGGTGTTAGCCACCCCTCCCAGTTTGGTGTCATCTGCAAATTTGATCAGGATGCCCTTGAGTCCATCATCCAAGTTGTTGATAAAGATGTTGAATAAGACCGGGCCCAAGACAGAACCCTGTGGCACCCCACTAGTCACTCTTCTCCAGGATGAAGAGGAACCATTGATGAGCACCCTTTGGGTTCGGTCAGTCAGCCAGTTACAAATCCACTGAGTGGTAGCATAGTCAAGACCGCATTTTACCAGCTTCTTTATAAGAATATCATGGGGCACCTTGTCAAATGCCTTGCTGAAATCAAGGTAGGCTACATCCACTGTGTTCCCTTCATCTACCAGGCTTGTAATTCTGTCAAAAAAACGAGATCAGGTTAGTCTGACATGACTTCTTTTTCAGAAATCCATGCTGACTATTGGTGATCACAGCATTCCTTTCTAGGTGCTCACAGACTGTTTGCTTAATGATCTGCTCCAGAATCTTCCCTGGTATTGATGTCAGACTGACTGGGCGGTAATTATTTGGGTCCTCTCTTTTCCCCTTTTTGAAAATAGGGACAACATTTGCCCTCCTCCAGTCTGCCGGGACTTCGCCTGTTCTCCAGGAATTCTCAAAGATGACTGCCAGTGGTTCTGAGATCACATCTGCCAGTTCTTTTAATACTCTTGGATGCAGTTCATCTGGCCCTGGAGACTTGAATACATCTAAACTAGCCAATTATTCTTGTACTATCTCCTTAGTTATTCTGGGCTGTGTTTCCTCTGCTGAATCATTTGCTCCAAATTCTTCAGGTCGGGCATTGTTTTCTTTATCGGAGAAGACTGAGGCAAAGAAGGCATTGAGGAGTTCAGCCCTTTCTGTGTCCCCTGTTTGCATTTCACCATCTTCTCCTCTGAGTGACCCCACTGTTTCTTTGTTCTTCCTTTTGCTACGAACATACCCATAAAAGCCTTTTGTGTTGCTTTTAACCTCTCTAGCAAGCCTGAGTTCATTCTGTGCTTTAGCTTTTCTGACTTTGTGTCTACACGTGCTTGCTATTTGTTTCAATTCCTCTTTGGTGGTTTCCCCCCTTTTCCATTTTTTGTACACATCCTTTTTAATCTTAACTCAGTTAAAAGTTCTTTAGATAGCCACCCTGGCTTCTTTAGGCACCTTCCATGTTTCCGTCTCATTGGTATTGCCTGACGTTGTGCTTTTACTATCTCCCTCTTAACAAACTCCCAGCCATCATGAACTCCCTTTCCTTTTAGTATTACTGTCCATGGGATCTCACCCAGCACTTCCCTAAGTTTTATGAAGTCGGCTTTCTTAAAGTCAATAAATTAAGTCCAAGTATGCTTGGCTGCTCCTTTCCGCTGTATAGTAAACTTCAGAAGAGCATGATCAATCGCGCCTAATGATCCTTCCACTTCTACCCCACTAACCAGGTCATCAACATTTGTTAGGACCAGATCTAAAATGGCTGTTCCTCTTGTTGCTTTTCCCACTTTCTGGACAATGAAGTTGTCTGCAAGGCCAGTGAGGAATCTGTTTGACCTTATGCTCTTGGCTGAGTTTGACATCCAACAAATATCCGGGTAATTGAAGTCCCCCATTACTACTATCTCCCTTCCTTTTTCATGCTTGGCCATCTGTTCCAGGAAGGCATCATCTATGTCCTCCGTTTGGCTTGGGGATCTATAGCAAACTCCCACAGTGAGGTCACTGTTATTCTTCTCTCCCTTAATTTTGACCCAAATGCTCTCACTTTGGCTTTGAGGTTCTAAATCTTGGATCTCTTCACAGGTATACACATCCCTGACATATAACGCCACTCCTCCTCCTTTCTTGTCTGGTCTGTTTCTCTGAAATAGATTGTATCCCTCCATTATTACATTCCAATCATGGGACTTATCCCATCAGGTTTCAGTGATGCCTATTATGTCATATTTAGTTTGCTGTACCAAGAGCTCAAGCTCATCTTGTTTATTTCCCATGCTTTGCGCATTAGTGTACAGACATTGAAGTCCATTAATCATTCCCCGTGTCTCTTATTTAAGGATTTTTTCCTCCCACCACTAGGTCTGCGTGCTGTTTGCTCCATTTGGTCTATGACATTTGGATGATCATCTTCATCAATTGATAGACTCCTACCTTCAGGAGCACTGTCTCCCTCCCCACATTAGTCAGTTTAAAGCCCTCCTGATGAGGTTTCTGAGATTTTTGGCAAAAACATTCCTCCCAACCGTTGTGAGGTGCAGCCCATCGCTTGCCAGAAGTCCATCTTCAAGAAACTGCAGTCCGTGATCTAAGAATCCAAACCGTTCCGTTTTACACCATTTGCGAAGCCAGCTGTTCACTTCCACTATTTTCCCCTCTCTCCCTGGGCCACGTCGTTCAACTGGGAGGACAGATGAGATGACAATTTGTGCATTTAATTGCTTCAATTTCCTGCCCAGAGCCTCGTAGTCTCTTTTGATCTTCTGGAGGCTATTGCTTGCAGTGTCATTGGTTCCCACATGAACCAAGAGGAAGGGGTATTTGTCAGTGGGTTTTATGATTTCTTGCAGTCGTTCAGTTACATCTTGGATCTTAGCCCCGGGGAGACAGCACACTTCCCGAGACATCTTGTCAGGCCCACAGATCACTGCTTCTGTTCCCCCCAGTAGGGAATCCCCTGTCACCACTACACGCCTCCTCTTAGGTCTGGTCGGGGTTCTTCCGTGAGCTGTCCGTTCCAAGGTCGCCTGCACATTCCCTGAGGACTGACTTTGCTGCTCATCTTCATATACCTGATCGATTGTAATGAGGGAGAGATCCTCAAATGGAGTCTGCTCTTCGTCTTCCATGCTAGGGGAGAGGACCTCAAAGCGATTGTGTATTTCTAAACAATCAGAGCGAACCCTGGGCCTCCTACTTCTTTGAGTCACGTTTCTCCATATATCTGGCTCCTGTGTTGGTGAATTAGCCTCCTCCTCCGGGGAGTCCCCTATCTCCTCCTTGGTGGAGACGGTGTGCTCTGTTGCTTCCAAGAAGAGCTCCAGCTCTCTAATTCTTTGGAGCGTAGCTACACGTTCCTCCAGTTGCTGGACTTTGTCTTCTAAGAGGGCAATCAACATGCAATTGCTGCAGGTAAAGCTGCCTGCAACCTTTGGCAAGATGGCAAACATTGCGCAGGAACCGCAGGCGACTGCAGCTTTTCCCTCCCCCTCCATCTTGAGAATGTGTCGTTGGGGGTGGCTACAGCGGTCCTCCATCATAAAAAGCGTGAAGACAGGACAAATAACTCCCCCCCCCAAAAAAACCTAGGTCTCCCCCAACAAACGTTTGAGACTAGCTCCCCTAAATCTAAAAGATGGATCAAACTGTGCGCACCGCTGCCCTGCAAGCTCTGATAAGCTCCTCCCACAGCTAATCACCTGCCTCAACAGAAACCCTGCCCCCTCTGACCTTTGCACAGGGAGAGCAGCTAATCAGCCACAAAGAAACACACACACAAGAAAAACCTTTTTGCTCCTTCTTCAGCTGCTGCCCTGCAAGCTCTGATAAGCTCCTCCCACAGCTAATCACCTGCCTCAACAGAAACCCTGCCCCCTCTGACCTTTGCACAGGGAGAGCAGCTAATCAGCCACAAAGAAACACACACACAAGAAAATCCTTGTTGCTCCTTCTTCAGCTGCTGCCCTGCAAGCTCTGATAAGCTCCTCCCACAGCTAATCACCTGCCTCAACAGAAACCCTGCCCCCTCTGACCTTTGCACAGGGAGAGCAGCTAATCAGCCACAAAGAAACACCCACACAAGAAAATCCTTTTTGCTCCTTCTTCAGCTGCTGCCCTGCAAGATCAGATTAGATTAAGCCCCTGAAATGGACACCTTAGAGACCAAATAAGTTTGTTCTGGGTATAAGCTTTTGTGGACAATTTTTTAAAAAATGTTTTCTTTGTCGTTTATGACTACTTTTGCAACATTGTGTATTTTTTATGTTGCGAGCCACCTTGAACATTGTTCGAACTATGGAAAGGCGGTATACAAATGAAATTACGTCTGTATGCATGCCCCATTCCCCGTTCATCTTAGAGAGACATAGGCAGCAGCTTCCCATATGTATCCGTTATCAGAGATGTGAGAAGGCAAAGTGGTCCATTCTGCTTTGCATTTGACGCACGCACCTCTGCTTTCACACTGCTGCACTTCATCTTCTGCCAAGAACCACGTTATTCAACTTGTTGTCGACAGTGGCAAAATTAGGCAATTTATCATGTGACTGCATGGAGTTAACCCATGAAAGAGCATAGCTTATGTAACCTAAGCAACTGATTACGGAAATTATGGTGTCATGATGTTGTTCTACTCAGGGCAAAGGAAGCTTTTCTGGAGCCTGGGGCAGGGCGTGCATGCACGGCATCTTTACGGAATGTGCACATGCAGCACCCATTCGGAATGCACGTGCGCAAAAGCTCATACAGGCTGCTGTGCGTGCGACGTCCATACCCATATGGACCTCAGTCGCTCTACAGCTGGGGGGAGGCAGTGGGCCATCTTGTCACCCCTCCCAGGGTGGCACCCTGGGCCTGCTGCCCCCGCCCCCCTTCATATGCCCCTACTCCAATCATTTCAATGCAAAGGACATTCTGGTGTGGGGTGCAGGAGGAATCCATTACATATCATTTGCAGATACCATTCGTACCTCCTGGATCGATCTCTGCTATAGACATGGGGCGACTAAGCAAAATTTCCACCAGCATTTCTGTTTTCAGCAGAATTCTTCGACATCCCTGCTTGACACACACTCGTTTCTTGCTTCACACACAAGTTCAAAGAGTGCCTTAAATGCAGCTGAGATAGCTTAGTTGGTAGAGCATGAGACAATCTCATGGTTGTGGGTTCGAGCCCCATGTTAGGCAAAAGATTCTTGCATTGCAGGGGGTTGGATTAGATGATCCTGGCGGTCCCTTCCAACTCTACAATTCTATGAAAAATATGTCGGCACGGCATGAATTTACACATTGTTCTTTTATTAGAAAGAAGACACATTCATGTGTGCTCTGAAAATTGTACAGAAATAACTGACAAACACAGAGGTCAGTGGTGGGAGAAACAGAATGAACCCAAGAAAACTGGGGCAGGGAAGAGGAGATTATAGCAACAGTTATCAAACAAACTTTTGTTTCAGCAATTACCTAACATGGACCTGCTACTGGAGTGAATGGGATAACTGGTGGATGATGGTGAAAGAAAATCGAGTTTCCATTGGGGCGGGCAGAGATTAAAAGCTTGAAAACACAGTAGGAATAGGTTTGTGTGCTAAAAAAATATTTGGGCACCATCTGTCAAGATATTCTTCCATGGAACTCTTTTCCACTTTATAAGGTGCTTGAGCAGGAGATATACCCCACTGGATATAGTTTCCACTTTGAATGATTAGAGTAGTTACAATGATATCCAACTTAGCATTCTGAGGCTGTTTTGTGCTTTTGACTTTCAGAGAATCATCTAAAACATGACCATTACATCACAGATTTCTTTTTTAAAAATAGGTAAACTTTTTATTCTTAAAAACAAAGCAAAGTAACCCCCCTCCATTGGATTGTTTAAAAAAAAATGGTTTTAAATTAACAGACTTATTTTATTTGTAAGGGTACATGCTAACTATGAAAGAAATGTCATTATGCTGCTGCTGGTTTAAAAATAAAGACAAAACACCAAAATATAATAGAATATATTAGAAACATAATATATAGAAACATTGCTTGCATATCAAGCAGCTGGCATAGAACAGGAGTGTGGTTCGACAGTGGAATTTGCTGCCAAGGAGTGTGGTGGAGTCTCCTTCTTTGGAGGTCTTTAAGCAGAGGCTTGACAACCATATGTCAGGAGTGCTCTGATGGTGTTTCCTGCTTGGCAGGGGGTTGGACTCGATGGCCCTTGTGGTCTCTTCCAACTCTATGATTCTATGATTCTATGATATTTTAAAGTTGGTGCGCCTTTCATTTGCTTAATAAACTCCACAATTTTATGATTCTATGAAAAACAGCAGTTCAAACCTTCATTTAGACTCTTTCTGTGGTTTATGCTTACAGTGCTCACCCCTGTTCAGACCGGTAATATTTGTAGGGTTTCTGGGTGCATGACTTCTGTTTATTCTGTCCGGAACTGCAAGCACTCCCTGTTAGAAGGCACACTGTTGCTGATTGTGTTTCCCCTGCAAACAAATGACTAACATTGTCAGGACTAATTATGGCACTCTTTTTGGTCAACAGGTAGACATATAGCCATGCCATGCTTGCAATTCCTCACAATGGCAGAAGGGAGGAAGACTTTGGGTTGCATTCAACATAGTGTTCTATCATGGCCTGCTTAGCAAAAGTGCATTGGGACTTTCCCCGTCTCCTCACACTGTGCACCTCAAACATCTGTTTTGGGAGTTCCCTCAACTTTCCAGAGCAAATATGGAGAGGATGTGAGGTGTCCATATGGGGGAGACAGGGGGAAAGTCCTGTTGCGCTCATCTTAGTCCTTGCATCAAAAGGATGAATATGACTCCTTTTCCCTGTCCCTAGCAACACAAAGAATTGGATGGTTTGTTTCTGTTAATCTCAGTCCACCTTGTGGTCTAGCCCATGGGTAGGCAAACTAAGGCTCAGGGGCTGGATCTGGCCCAATCGCCTTCTAAATCCAGCCCACGGATGGTCCGGGAATCAGTATGTTTCTACATGAGCAGAATGTGTGCTTTTATTGAAAATGCATCTCTGGGTTATTTGTGGGGCATAGGAATTCATTTTTTTCTTCTTTAAAATATAGTCTGGCCCCCGCACAAGGTCTGAGGGACAGTGGACCGGCCCCCTGCTGAAAAAGTTTGCTGACCCCTGGTAGCCCCACTCCTTTCTCATAAACTGTTTTCTTAATCTCTTATACTCCCCATAATTCTACCCATGAACCACATTTCATTGTTTGCTTCAAGGCAGTCGATCGCTTTTGAGAACATTCTGTGATGTAATGAGCTACTCTTGCAATTTACAATCTCATTTTAGGTCGATGCATTCCAAAGATGACATCTTCATGCCAAAACTGCCCAGAAAAGCCAACTGGTCATTTGTGTGCTCTTTGGTGCACAAATAAATGACCACGAGAATCTTGGTGCAACCCCAAGTCACAAGCAACCACATTAGGACTGTAGGGAAGACCATTCCTTGGTGAGTCCCATACAGCTCAGTCTGGAACCTACACATTTACAGACTTGGACTGAATTCATGCTAAGTCTCTTGATCACAGTGGATTTAATACTTTGATTACCTCGGTAAAGCCCAGCATGAGATTTTGTTAAAAAATATCTACCTAGCATATGCATGGTATTAATGAATCCCACACTGGCTGCTATAACCCCTTCTCTGCCTTCCCATGTGCAAACAAGTCTCTCTGGAATTTAAGGGTGAGCTCTAATCACCTTTCATTTATGTTCCTATAATGCCTTTTCACCAAGGAGTTCAGGGCAACATACATGGAAGGTGAAGATTCCACATGGTATCCTCAGAACAACTCTGTGAGGTAGGGATGACTGTAGTAGTTAAAATCTTGAGTGAGTTCTGTGGCTGGGTGAGAATTTGGGACTAAGTCTCCATGGTCCATGACTGGCACCCGGTTAGCTTTGCCATACTGTTTTACAAACCTTTACCCCTACTGCACAACAACCTACCAATGTGCTGTCACTGATTCTAGTGATCGTCTCAGAAAAGTGGACCAGGGATTGCAGCCTTTTGCAGTGTCACTAATACCGAGGGCATGAATGCTCCGCAGGGAGCTGTACCCATTGACCCGAGATGTTTCAGCTGCTCATGGGCATCTTTCCAAGTATTTCTTAGAATCATAGCATTGAAGAGTTGGAACTTGGAAGGGACATGTGGGTCATTTAGTCCAACAAAACCAGAGGCAGTTTTAGGGTGGCGTGGCCAAGTTTCTCTGCACTGAGCTCTGAGCCTAAGGAGTGGTGCAGGGTGTTGCAACTATGACATAGTGAACTGAGCAGAATGAAAGGTGAGAGGTGGGATTTTGGCCTCACACAGGTCCCCAATGAAATTTTAAAGGTCCACCCCTGACTGAAGCATCCATGACAGTTGGCCACCCAACCTCTGCTTAAAAACCTCCAGTGTAAGAGAGTCTGCCTTAAGTTTACCAGATGTTCCCGTTTCCCGGGGACAGTCCCCGGATTTACAGTTTTCTCAGCACTTACATGTACATAGCAAACAATAAGTGTCCCCGGATTCATTGAAAAAAATCTGGTAACCTTAGTCCACCACCTTCCAAGGGAATTTGTTCAGATGAAGTCTTCCCACCCGCCCCCTCTCTCTGTAGGATCTTCCCATGTTCCTGGTCTAAAAGCATGGACCAAGGATGTGGAACCTGTGGCCCTCCAGATGCTGTTGGACTGCAGCCCCCAGCAACATAGCCAATGGTCAGGGATGATGAGGGTTGCACATCAGGAGGACCACTGGTTCCCTGTGGAACCGGAAAGTATGGGAAGCGTTTGCACAAGAAGCTCTGGTGGGACCATACACTACCATTTATAATGCAAAAGGAGGACTAACGGGATCTGCCATCAAACCATTGGTCCATCAGTATTGTCTACGCTGACCAGCACCAGTAGTGGCTCTCTGGGGTTTCAGGAAGGCCCCCCCCCCCCAGCCCTAACAGGAGATGCTGAAGATTGAACCTGGAACCTTCTGTATGCACAGCAGAATCCCTACCACTGAGCTACATCCTTTCCCAATGAATAAGAGGACAACACAAGCTGTCAAGACCCAACACATGAGAATGGTAGGGCTAGGTATGAATCAGATGAGCCTTTGACTTCCATAGATGCTTCAGTGTGCTTGAGTTAGACCTGAAGTCCATTCCTAGAAACTTCCAGCATATTTCTTGGTAAGATGCCCCCCCCCCATGAGAACAAATAGAAACAATAATTTGATCGGTGTGAATTCCCCCTTCCTCCAATCCTTTTCCCAGGGACTTTCCTTCTTAAGGGCTGGAAAGACCTTGGACGTAATATACACTTGAATGGGAAATGCATAAGAGCACACCTAGGGCTCTTGCACATTTCCCATTGTCTTCGGTGTGGCTTGCCTGGCACATGTTTCCAGTGGCTGATATCCAGTTTCACTGAGCCTTACGGAGGACAAAATTCGTTTCAAGTCAAGAGCAACCTGTATGCTCCAGTCTTCGATGTGTTTGCAATCTGCCCCATTCACTGCAATGGAGGATGCAACTCCACTTTTACAATGCACTCTCCACTGAAGAAAATGGAACAGACTTTCTCAGCAGGGACATCAGTGTGTGCAGCTATGAGAGCCACCGGACATTGCCCAGTACATACAATCTATCCCTGATGGAAAGGATTCCCTATCTCGATCCATTCAACCCATAAACCCATTTCCCCAAAATTCAGTTTGGATCTCCCCCACAACCCAACCCCATTTCCCAACAACAAAAGATAATTGGAGGCAAAAAAATTATAACAAAAAAGCATATTAGGCCCCTTCCCGCCCCCAATGAAAAATGTTCAAACAAAAGTTTTGGGACAATAATACGAAGATTGCTATGATAAAATAGACAAGGAGGGGTTATCTGGAGTCTTTTACTGTGTCTGTGGGTTTGGGAAAGATCCTGCACCTTTGTCCCCCCCCCCCAAAAAAAAATAATAATTGGTGATTTTTCTGTATAAAAAAACCCTGATCTATTTTTCTTCACTGAAATATTGCTGATCGTTTTACGGTTAAAACAAATGGCAGGATTATGTCTGAGGAAAGCTTGCGATTTGTTATTTCACCACCAGAAAATAAGAGAAGAAGCAATTCCACATGTTCATTTTCCCTCAGAAAAGATCAAAACTGCTTGATCAATTCTTACACTCCTCTTGCCTTCTTGCAGAACAATTTTCCAGCTATCTTGGCCACTTGGAAAGTAGCAGCATCGATTTCTGTTTGAGTTCTTATGGAAACACAGAGTGAAACATGTTTTAAAACATAGGGATTCTGAATTCAAAGTCTGAGGGGTCAGAATTTTATTTTTTTTTAAAAAAAAACATGGTGTCAAGAGGAAGACGCCAAAATGCATCAGGCCATTTCCTCGACACGATATGACAATCCAAACCCTGAAGATGAGGAAGACCTGCATGTTAAGATGCTTCCATACCTTTTCCTCGCAGGACAAAGCTGGAAGAACATCTCCACCCCATTTGCATGGGTCAGAAGCATGGAAAAATGAGCGGAATGACGCACGCCAAAGAAATGGAACTCCTTGGGTTTCAAGTTCTCTTTTTATTGAAGAAAAGAAAAAGAAGAAAAAAAATAGATTTTTTTTCCCCAAGTGGATTTTACTCAATTTTTTTTTTTTCCAGTTTGACTCAAAGTCCCTAAGGCAATGTTCTCCATATGTTCTCAACTTTTCCATGTCTCTTAACCGGGGATCGTCCACTTGAGAAAGCAGACAGGAAGAAAGATGTTGTCCAGTCTTTCGAAAGCAACGAGGGGGGAAAATGAGGCCACACATGAACCTTTGTACAAAGGCCCACAATGAGCTTGCCTAGGGTCTACTAGCAGTCAACATATGACCTACATTCTTGTTTGTTCATTGTTTGTTTGCTTTTTTGTTTTGTTTTTTAAAAAACCTCCCCTTCCCACTCAAGGTTCTTTTCTCTCTTTTTTTTGTCTGGAAACCAGTTGAGTGGATCTCAATTGTCTTAAGTGGAGATCTCTTCATTGTCCATACGTCACACTTTTTATTGTTATTATTTTTTACGGAGAGTTCAGAAAATCCAGTATGGAAGGAGATGTCCGCTGCCACCACCAGGACTCCCACTTCCATCCAACTTCCCTGCCCCAATTAGGCATCCTCTGAGCTAGCTCCCAGAGGACTGCTGGAGAAATCCCAACTTTCTGAGGAGGAGGCCTCTTCCCGGTTGAGGGGGATCTCTGTTCCCGATGCCGTTCTGGTGGCTGCGAGGAGACAGAAGGGAGATGGGCAGGTTCCTCTCCCTCCATCTCTAGAAGAGACAATGGGTCACAGGATGTGTCCAGGGGAACTGTGGGTACCCAATGCTCAGTCAAGTGCCTCCTGAGTTTCCATTCCAGACATCCATTGTGGCAGCACGCCTAGCGGCATCCTCTTGGTAAAGATCCTCCGTTAATCCTTTTGCTGCTGAGGCCGATGTCATTTTTTAAAAGAAAACAACCTCTAATCCTCCCTTTCCCCTTATTATTTCATCATTCCCTTCCCTCCTCCGTGGCCTTCTCTCTTCCCCCACCCACCCCCCGGCCATCTTCCTTACCTGGGAAAGACCGTATTGCGTTCCGTACCTACTGCTACTATGTTCTACAAAGTAATAGTTTTCCCCACCCAACTCTGTCTCCCGAGAACAATACAAAGGTTACTCCATATTATGTTTCCTTTTTAACTGAAAGGTTTCGAAAAGAAACCAACAGACATTGCTCTCTTGCTCCATTTCAATTCCATTTGATTGGTTCTCTTTTTATTATTATTATTTTAAAAAATCTTTATCTGTTTGTATTTTGTGTTTTGTTTTCCAGGGTGGGGGGAAAAGGACACCCAAAGAGTCTTTCTTCTTGCTTTTTTTCCTCCTCAGACCTCTGTCTGGAGGTCGATAATGTCCTGTCCCACCAGGGGGATTGTGGCGCCTGCCTTTTCCCACTCAACAGTTTTGAGTTCCAAGGGAGACTGTGACACCATCTCCATGTCCTTTTTAACCCATGCCGGCGGGGAGTGGACCTTCCGGATCCCTTCCCAGGGTCTCTTGTTTGGTGTCTGCTGTTTTTCTTGCTGCAACAAAAGGGGGGAAGGGGGGGGAATAAAACAGAAAAAAGAAGAGATCAGATTTCCAAGAAATTAAGTTGAGAGGAAGGCCAAAAGGTTTTGTCGATTCTTTTGGCTGAATTGATTAAAAAAAAAGCATTCGATCGATTAAAATGGCAGAAGAAGAAGAAGAGTTTGGATTTGATATCCCGCCTTTCACTCCCTTTAAGGAGTCTCAAAGCGGCTAACATTCTCCTTTCCCTTCCTCCCCCACAACAAACACTCTGTGAGGTGAGCGGGGCTGAGAGACTTCAGAGAAGTGTGACTAGCCCAAGGTCACCCAGCAGCTGCATGTGGAGGAGCGGAGACGCGAACCCGGTTCCCCAGATTACGAGACTACCGCTCTTAACCACTACACCACACTGGCACACTGGCACTGGATTAATTGGGAGGTGGATGGCTTTAAAATTAATTACTTGAATGCAAGTATTTACAAAAGCCTCTGGTGACAGTCAATATATTTGAAAAGGTAATTTCCCCTTTCCCCTCCTGTACTAAAGAATATGCATTTGTAGTGCCAACTTCAGTGCATGCATTCATTCCCCCCCCCCCGCCACCAAAAAGCCAAGTCCATTTGGAGCAATTTGGGTTGGGGTGATCGCATGCTAAGAGAAGGATAAATCCTCCTTCCCTGGCACTGGGCCTTGGCCATGAATGCCCTACCAGAGGGATGGAGACCCTTCAGCCTGGTACTTGAATCTGGTCCTCCACGCCTCCCTGTTTAGTCCCTGAAACTCTCCCCAGACCACACCCCTCATCAGTCCTGCTCCGGACTCCCCTCAGGTCTGGCTGAAATGTGTCCTTGAGCTATGATAATGCTTTTTGTCTGGATGGATGTAGAGATGTGGGCGGGAGAGGTTTGCAGAAACTTCTGGGTACCTAGAATGCACCCTGTTGTATTGTCATGGATTGTGATGAGGAGGGCTGTGCTGAGGAGGAATGGTGGAAGCCTCCCCCTGCTGCTGAGCAGGATCCTGAATCTTCCCAGGAGCAGTGGGACAGTATAGATTTGGAACAGTGGTTTGAAGAGGGAAATAGTTCAGAAGGCAGAAGTTGGGAAGAACTGGGTGGGGAACAGCTAGGAGAAGAAGAACTGGGAAAGAGAGAGAGTTAACAGACTCACTCTCTCTGGAATGTGTCCATCTGATCAGTCCAAGGTCAAGGTGGCAGCTCTGAAAGCTCGGTGGCTGTGAGATCAGGCTGCAAGATGTGGTAGTGACGTGGGTGACAAGGGGCGAATTGAGTGGAATCTTTAACTGGGAGCACCTTCATCCCTAGGAATGGATTCTTTGTTTTCTCACTGTGATCATTAAAATCTCTAACTGGTAAGAGTCTCCTTTCATTTTGTTCTGTTTATCTACTGCCAAAGGGGAGTGGGGAGGAAGCTGAGTCCCAGAAGCCTGACAGGTATAGAGGTAAAAGTCACATCCATTGTGCAATACAGTTTTCCTTTGTCTCCGCCAATCACTTGTATATAGCTCCCAGAAAAACCTCCACAACCTACAAGGGAATGTAACCCTCAGCCTGAAAAATGTTCCCTATTCCTACTCTACCACTGCATCTGCTATTTGCATTTTTTTAAAAAAGTGGGAGCTTCAGTCATGGCTCAGTTGGAATCGCATCTAGTTTGGTCCTTAATTTCACCATCCTTTCCCTTGTTACGCTAAGGAACTGGCAGCAATGGCTTGTAGAAGGAGTAGGAAATGGGGATCCCCATGCAATGTATGCAAGCCCTGCCCATCCCACAATATGGCAGACAATTCATGTTCCTGATGCCATCGGAAATCTCATCATTCTGGATCAACTGGAAGGGATCACTGCTATAATTATCTGCCATCTTGTGGGAAGCCAAGGCTCATGTAATTTGACAGGAAGCGTTCTTAAAAACCTGATAAACTTCTCCTTGCTCGGTGGCACCAGACAAACTTAGTGGTATTCTGTGATTTATATAGATGTAAGCACAATAGGATCTTTCCACAACGCTACCCAAAATAGCATGTTCGAAACCCAAGGGGGATATTTTGCTTTTAAAATGGTGCATCATTCTCTTAAATAAAGCACACTGTAGAAACCTCACCAAGAGCGTTATTACAATTCACAAAGGGATTTTTCATGCGAAATATCTGCCATGGGAAAGATTAGGGGTTACTGGAGAGAGAAAAGAAGGGCAGGATTCAATTCAGGGAGTCACAGCACTGGGGGAATGGAAGTAAGGTACACATGTGTGATGGCTGAAGAGAAATTGAAGGAAACTCATGAAACCTCACTGGGGGGTGGGGTGGGGGAATAAACCTCCTTTTGTGCTACAAAACTTATCCACTAGTTCTTTGGAAGTAAGAATTTCCCATCGTTTTGAGAGGATATCCCTCCATGCTGTGAGGGGATGGGGCACTGGAGGAGCTGTGTGGGAATGTGTGGTTGGGGTGAAATTCAAAGAAGGGGGGTTAGCATAGGGTAGGGCATCTGCAGGGTTGGTGAGCAACATGAGCAGGGTCTGTAGCCCCTGGTAATACAGTGGTACCTGTTGGGATTCCATTCCACCTTTTGCTGCAGACATGGGATTGTTGCGTGTCACATGTCTGTTTACATTCCAGCACAGATTGCCGGCGTAAGCAGAACTTCTGCTCTGTATAGCTGTTGTTCTTGGCGCTCTCTCTGAGAAGATGGCAAGGAGAGACGACATGTTTCTTTGTCCTGATTTATGTTTAATAAGGGACGTGGGTGGCACTGTGGGTTAAACCACAGAGCCTAGGACTTGCCGATCAGAAGGTCAGTGGCTCGAATCCCACAACAGGGTGAGCTCCCGTTGCTCGGTCCCAGCTCCTGCCAACCTAGCAGTTCGAAAGCACATCAAAGTGCAAGTAGATAAATGGGTACTGCTCTGGCGGGAAGGTTAACGGCATATCCGTGCGCTGCTCTGGTTTGTCAGAAGCGGCTTAGTCATGCTGGCCACATGACCCAGAAGCTGTCTGC